CGAAAAAATAATTAAACACAATAATATATAATTTTTTTGCACTATTCATTAGCATCTGATTCTGAACATTATAATACGATAATACCTTTCAGATCATATTTCGAATTAGAACATAGTGTTTACAAATTACAATAACATTCTTTTTGCATTCATTTATTAAAATTGTTTCACGACTCGTTAACATTACAAAACAAATATTTGCCTTCATTTCTTAATAATCCATTGTTGATGCTCTTTTAACATTTGTCATTGCAATGTGAAAAATTAGTGCCAACTTCACTAAGTTGTTCACCAAAGAATATGATGTATCCATCTTTCATTCAACAAAATTCTTATTAATTTAGGAGCCTTTCGCCTGACACTTTGAAGCTTATGCCTCGCTTTATGAAAGGGTCCAATGTATTGTTTTATGATTCTGCCATGTTAAAAGTTGGAGTAGGCATATATTGGCTGACAACACTTAGTGGACAAGCAATATCATACTAAGTTAGAATAAGATAGTAATAGTACAACTTTCCTATTTGTCCCCCATATTTTTTAGGATCTTCTAGCAGCTCTTCTTATTTGGTAATACACTGGAGTTCTATTCTATCAGCTCATGAATTAGTTTATACTCTGATGCCCACTCTTGGAGAGTAGCCAACAAATATTTCTTCTGAAATAGACAGACTCCCATGTTCTTATCATTTCACCTCAATTTCCAGAAAAGTATCTCAACCTCCCCAATTCCTTAGTTTGAAACTTTTTCTGAATATAAACTTCCTTTGTCATCATCAATAAGAATACAAATATGATCAAAAGATACTACTAGAAGAATCCTCCATCTTTTATTAATATCGATAACCGAGTGGTCTCTGTGGTATCTCTTCATGGCAAACCTTATGATAACTTCTGCAAACTTTCCACAACCAAGTCCCCAGAGACCTTCATATCAAGCATAACATGATCTCTTCAATATTAAAACTTTTCACTCACTAAGCAACAACCCCCCCCCCCCCCAAACCCCCAAACTCCTCCTCCCCTCCCTCTCTCCCCCTCCATTCCCTCTTGCACCCACCCCCTACCTCCCCTCTCCCCATCCTCTCACCCTCCTCCCCCCCCCCCCAAAAAAAAAAAAAAAAAAAAAAGCTCTTGTAGCCTTCATTGCGCTGGTTGGGGGCTCTGTCTATCATTCTTAATTCTAATTGATATGATGGTTAATGCCAAAATCATGTTTATGTCATTTTAGCGACCACATAAAACTCTTCTGCGTAATAGTCAATATTATATACCTGAGAATATCCCTTGACAACTACATGAGCTTTGAGGTGAGTGAGGGTCCCTTCAGAATTAAACATTACCAAGCTTTCAGGTAAGCAAGGGGTCCCTTCAGAATTAAATTTTACTGCATAATTTTATTTACAACCAATACATTTCCTTGCTGGTGGAAGCTGTACATGGTTTGTATATTATTATGTTCAAGTGCAATAATTTTTTCTTACAATAGCTTTTCTCTACCTAAGTGTGATGCACGCCTCTAGCAAAGACTCAAGAATGGGTGACAGCCCATAGTAAGAACAAAATAACAACAGAAATGGCAAGATCGCAAGTCAGATGAGTCTCATCAACATGTTGTCTAGGAGATGAAACTCAAGGAAAAGCTGGCATAGAGTCTGAATTAGAAGTCACCGGAGCTAATGATAATTGGGACCAGTTGACATAGGCAAAAGAAGAAGATCGAACCACGCTAAAGGAAATATAAACATCGAAAAATTTATGACTGTGATGATCATTGTTTAAGTACATCTACCTCTATATATTGGAACACAAAAGGATTGGATCTATGTATCTAATCAATGTAGGATTAAATACATAGACCGTATATCTAGGTCTTCTAAAATTCCCTTCAAAATGGGTCGATTGGAAAGCTTGAGGCCTTGGTATTAAGATTGATGACAAAATTACTTTTGACAGCACCCACGTTTGCGGAGGTCTAAATGGAAGAGAAAGTTTGTTGTAAGCAATATGCAGCCAATTGACAGGTTTCAAGATGGGTTATGAGTCGTACAGCCTAGTTCATGAGTCATACGGCCTATGTTCATGTAACCAAAATTCTACTGAGAGGTGCATTTATCTCCGAGCATATAAGTTCAATTCATTTCCTCCTTTTTGGTATATTTATACATTGACTTTTTATACTTTATACAAACCCATCTTCATAGTCTATGCAGTAATCAATTTTTGGTACTTGCAGAAACATAGATCCAACTCAAAGCTTTCCATGCAAAAGGCTTCTGGGGGATCTTTTAAAAATAGGCAAACCTTCTCTTCATTAAGTCAAACTTCAAAAAATAATGAAGTTAGAAATATGCATCATAGGTGCCAAGTCAAGCCAACTAAAGAAGGGCTCGGTTTTGATGTCCATTCAAATGCTTCCTCTGATAGCCATGGTTCTTCAGCAGTCCTTCCTGATCATGGTATTGAGTGCCTTGACAAAGTAGTTATCAATAATGGGGGTGGACCCATTGAGGTGGTCACTTGTACGTCCACAAAGGTTGCAGCCTCAGACAGAAAGCCTAAAGTAATTCAGGGAGTTCTCGTAAAGGAAAACGTGGATATTATTCCCAAAATTAAATGGGGTGACCTTGAAGAAGTTGGTTTGCTACTGTCCAAAGGTTGTGAAAATTCAAGTAAAATTGGAAACAGTGAGAGTTTAGATGGCTCAGATGGCACCATGCAGGAACATGCAGATGTTGCAGATTCTGGTGAACCAACATTAAATGCGTCATTATTCACTCCACCTCAAGTAGGAGAAGTTACATCTGAAGATGCGGAATTGTTTCCTATACCGCTTTCTTTGGGCGTCCATGATGAACGTTCTGATGAGACCTGGAAGGAAGTTAGTGAGATTTGTATCAAAGATTTGGGATCGGTGAGTGTTAATCCAAAGGATGTAGTTGAAACTAGTAAGGCAGCAGAACTTGAACTTGATGGTGACTTAGATCCTGAAGACACAGTTAACGAAACCTGTTCTTCATCGCCCCTTGGATCAGTTGATAATGTGATCCCTCAGGAGCCGTGTGACGAGTCTGAGAATGTAGCACTGAATGTCTCAGAAATATCTATCACAAATGAGAATGCAGGCATAGTTGATTACCCTCCAGATACTAATTTGCTTTCGCATCTAAACAATAGTGTTGAATTTTCTGTTGATTCATCTGTTACAGAAGCCTCAGAAGATCCAAATGGGCAAAAGTATGACCCAACAGAAGCAGTTGATTTTGAAGAAGGTGAGCAGGGGGAGAGCAAAGAAAGGTTCAGAGAAAGGTTATGGTGCTTCCTTTTTGAAAACCTCAATAGAGCAGTAGATGAACTTTATCTTCTTTGTGAATTGGAATGCGATGTGCAGCAGATGAAGGAAGCCATACTTGTACTTGAAGAAGCTGCATCTGATTTCAAGGAACTGAAATGTAGGGTGGAACACTTTGAGAACATGAAACGGACTATTTCCCAATCATCTAAAGATGGTATGCCAGTAAATGTGAAAACAGATCATCGCAGGCCACATGCCCTCTCATGGGAGGTAAGAATGCTCATCCAGTCTAGTCTTTTCCCATTGAGCTCACAATAATCATAGTTCTGAACCCATCAAATGTTGTAATTCTTATATACACTATTGGAATTTGTTTATTCTTGATACTGTATAATGAAATTTCTGGAACACGGAGAGTTCATTCATTTTGTTTACTTTGGTAAAATCTGATATATGATTGCAGAAAAATGAAAAAAATTCTGACCAATATTTGGACAGATACATCTGCAATTCACTCTGATCATAAAACATCAGGCAAATCTTTCTATGAAAAACTAGTAACCGCAAGAGTACTGGAAACAAATTGTTTTTAAATTAGATATGTATTGCAGGCTTTATTCTTCTTATTGCTGTCATCTGAATTACTTGTTTGCATAATTTCACTGATGGAGGTAGTATAGAATTTAATTCAAGAACTTGAGTGCCAGGATGAAGGACTACTTGGTTTGAACCAATACATGTTTTGTGTACTTAAGTTATCAAACCGAAATGTTCATCTTCTGATAACATCTAACTGATAACCTTAGATGTTCTTTTTTCTTTCACTGCTGCGTCATGACATCTAAAATCAGTTACTCATACTGTTATGGTCGCCGAAGAACCTCTGCCTCTAACATATGAACTTCTTAACCCAAATAATCTTTAGATTGTTGACCATTTATTATGTGGAGTTTGTTATTTAAGAAATCCTAGTCAATGATGCATGGGCTTGGACTGTAAAATTGTCAACATGTTCAGCCCCTACATAATTCTCTTATCATTTAAATAGGATGCTTTAAATTGACAGGTCCTTTAGGTCTCATATATTTTAGAAGAATTTAAAACTGTACTATGAATTTCACTGAAAAACTAAAAGAACACTGTAATTTAACAGATATATGAGTACGAGCTTCCATAATTTATGAACAACAGAAAAAAAGTTGTCGTATGGAAGAAATTAAGAAATTAAAATAAATGATAGTTTCATAAATGAATATGGAGTTAAATTTTATTATAATATTTTTTCTTTTTTTTTTTTGTGTTGTTGCGCCAGGTTTTTTTTGGGGGGGAGGGGTTGGGGTTGGGTGGTTGAAGTTTGTGAAAGGCCTGTTTCGGATCATGTCTGTTTGTTGCCTCCTGTTCTTGGCCTTAAAGATAATAAGGGTATGGGCATGCAGATGCATCCAACAGTTTCCCTCCACGAGTCATTAGTTGAAGATGTTTAGCTGGGAATCCAGTCTATAGTGGAGCTGCTGGACAACACATTTTTTCTTCCTAATTTCTATTTATGATAAGCTAATGTATATAAGATATATTATCTTTCTTGAATTTAAGCTCTGCTTTATGATTTTTTTTTAAATGAATATGATTTCCTTGGCAAATCTTTCCTTTACACGTTGATATGTAGCTTGCTAGCTGCACAAGTTTATTTGAACGATGTTGTAGGTTGTTCTATCTACCAGCTGGCCTCCTAGAACTTGTTCTTAGACTCTTCTTGCTCCTATTTGCACTGCACGTCTTAGACACCAATCTAAAAAAACTTGATTTTAGACAGCAATTCATAATAAAAGGCTGCCTAATATTTAATGGATCTTACCTCGATAAGGCTGGGTCTTTAGAACTTATGAGTTTTGGTTCAGTGGACAGGGAGCTTTGAAAGAAAGTGAGGAACATACAGTTATCCTTCACAGTCAATAAATTTGTTTGCCAAGGAAGGGTAAGTAGAGTTTTGCCAAATATGAAGCCAAAAGAAACTCGTTATATAAAGGGTTTGAGATGTGAGGTCTAGGAAAGATTCATTTAGATTAATTTGTTTTTTCTTTTGGAAAACTTATGAAAACTTGTGTCTAAACCCCTAAGTATAATATGGATAGCTTGCATCAGAAACTCGAGTTACGCTAGTAATCCATTTTGAAGACATTGAATGAGCAGCAAATTAAAAGGAGAATCCTGTTTTCTTGTTCTAAAATGTTCAAAGAGTGTTCCTTTTGGTCAGAGAATTTTTGAACAGAAGTCAAACAGAGGATTGACTGCTAAGGTGGAGGTTACTGAGAGTAACATAGCAACGTTGTTTAAAGTTACTAGGTCATATATTTTAGATCATTTGGCAAAGATATGGAGCTGAATCTATTGATTTTGTGGTCATAAGTTGCTGTAGCTGGTCCAGCTATCAACCTATAGAGGAATTTGTTGGAATTTTTTCTTTTATTTTCAGTAATTTGTGAGTTAGCATTTATGGTTTATGCCTTTTTTTGGTCTTGTGTGATTATTTTTCTAGTCATGGGAGTCATCTAGATGAAGGTAGACCCAGTTTTCTTTAGTATGAAACGCGTAAGAGATAAAGGGAGGACACTCACAAAAGAAGTGAGAATATAATGCTTTTCACATGTCTCCGAGTCCAAGCTAAATGTTATCTATTGGATTGGAGTCTTAGACTAACTATAGAGGGGAAGGAAGGGACCTATTGGTCCGATGGAGCTTTTTTCGATGATCACACCCTTTGGAGACAGATTTATTTGGCCCCGCTGTTGCAAGTAGTACTCTTGAATAGCAAAGTTTGGAAGGAGTAAATAAGAGATTAGGATGAAAATGACAGTTACCCAAATTTGTATTTAATATAAATTGTAGGAGCAGTATCTATATCCTTTGGAAGTTACTAGTTAGTGCAGTTTATGTGCTATGAATAAAGTTAAATAAGGAAACAAAGAGTGAGAAGAGATATGTAAGATCTAACTATATCTTGTATTAGGTTAACTCCTGCTTGGTGTATAAAAACTTGCTAACCGAACAACTATATTCACCAATATATATGCATTTATATATAAAGTCTGTGGTAAGTTACCATTATACATATGATTTACATATCTGAACGGTACATGCAAAGCAAGGAAGATCCTTCTATTCAATTTTACAACTGCTCTCAAATCTTTATGATGCGGAATTATTTTCATCTAAATCTAGCTGCCTAAGTTTTATACATATTTAGATATGAGGATAGTAATTAAGCTTTTGCTTTGTGGTTCCTCAATGCAAACTGGAAGTTTTCCTCGTTGCGAGATCCCTGTGGCACTTTATCTCACTCTCTAGCTGGAAGAATCAAGAACTAAATGACATTTAGTAAAATAGACTAATAGCTCAGAAGAGACTGAGGGATCATCTCATCTTTCCTTCTGTGTATCATGGTGTCTTAAATTTCCTAAGCTCCAAACAATCATAGGGTCTAAGACATTACATGTACTATTATTGACTATAGGTAACAGCCCAAAATTTGGATGAGCGATAGGGTGCTGTACTGTCAATAGCTTATGAGATGACAATATCATTATATCATTATGTAGTTGTGACGCCCATGGTTTTTACACATGGCTGCAGTCCAAGATGAACCCAAAAATATCAAACCTGCCATGCACCCAACCCTGTACATAAACATGTTTCACTGTCACCATTAATATCACTCTAGCATATATCAAATGTAAAGTAGTGATGGTACAAACATATATAATAAAGATGAGAATACAAAGAACACAATATAGAGAAGAGGTAGCCGACGGTATTTGTAATTATATCCCAACAAAAGATAAGAAAAGTACATCTGATAAACTGAAATAAGAATCTATGAGTCTCTAAAACATAAGAGTCAACTGAACAGTACTAAGACACTTAGCCTCCAAAATGAAATATATCTCTAAAAAACTAAACCATAAATACTCCATTGTGGAGCACCAACTAGCTATCTATGAATGACGGTAAATTTTGCTGAGTCTCCGTCAACCTGTGACTCTTCGAATCCCCGACCCGCTATCTAAAAAAAGTGGTAAACAACGAGCATTAGAACGCTAGCAAGAACATCTCCGCCCTCAGGAGAAGGGGTAACGCATATAAAATACTACACAGCATATATATATATATATATATATATATATATATATACACACACACACACACACACACACACACACACACACCATGTACTAAGAGGAGTTAAAATTTAGAAATTTACAACACGAGATGAGTACGTCGAGCAAATAATCCAAACAAGGAAATCCTCATATATATATCATGTATCTCAAATTGTGAATCGCTAAATATCAACTCCAAATCCTATGAACAAGCAATAAAGAAGTACATCACTAACACCTCATTCAAGACATGTCATGTATGTCAAATTTACAGTATCTCACCCTACCCTCAGGTGGGTGGCACGGGGGCAAAAATACAATCCTGTGTAATCCTCATCAGAAAGTATATACCGTCACACATAAATGACACAATGTTGGACTACGTCCATCAATTGTACTCGCTTGAGTCCTAGGCAACCCAAAGATGTAGAGTGTAGTCGTCCACAGTATCATGCGGCTCCCGGACTAACGCTCTCAGTCATCGAAACCAATGTATGTTGCGGAGTGTAGTCGTTCGCAATATTATGCGGTGCACAGACCAACACACTCAACAATCTTAGCTAAAACGCAACACGGAGTGTAGTCATCCGCAGTGTCATGTGGTGCACGGACTAACACACTCGGAGTGTAGTCGCCCGCAATATCATGCGGTGCACGGACTAGCGTTCTCAAACACCTAAATAAAGACGTATCGTAGTGTTGTCGCTCGCGGTCTCATTCGATGTATGGACTAACGCACTCAGAGTGTAGCCGCCCATGATCTCATGTGGTGCACGGACTAACGCACTCAAGCATCCAAAAACATCGCAATTCGAAACAATTGTCACTCCTTATCGTGACAAACACAAAATATTAAGTTACTCACTCCCAAAAGTCCATGCGTGTTCAAACCCAACACCGGCACTCTCATGGCTACGCACGTGTATCGACCTGTGGCCCGTACACTGTGTACGTGACCAAACGTGCTAGACAAAACATGATCGATCAGTCGACTGATCAGACAAAACAGGATCGATCGGTTGACTGATCCTTCTGATCAGTCGACCCACTCGAAGATGAATTGAAATCGACAGAACTTGGAAATCAGTTGGCTGAAAACCTGATTAGTCGACTATATCAGTCGACCGAACAATAAGTATCGGTCGACCGATACATATGTTAGTCGACCGACCCGAGAGGAACCCCAATTCCTGAAGACCGATCGGTCGACTGATCCTCCTGATCAGTCGACCAACCCGAAGACGGATCGACATCGACAGACTTCGCGAACAATTCACATAATCGATATTTCTTTGAAAATAACTCATGTTTTAATTCTTAATTAGGGTATGTAGAGTTTACTTTGATACATAAAATCACAAATATCAATTAGAGGTGATCTAATAACCCTAAACATCACTAATCAAATTTAACTCAATTAATTAGGGTTCTAATCCTAATTAATTCATCAATTAGCAAATAATTAGAGTTTTAGTCATCAAGGTCACATATTTTCTCTATTTAGTGATTGGATCTAAAGTTCTATTCATCAATCTAGGGTTCAATCCGTCAAAAATAAAAAATAATTGGGGATGAGTTTGGAGAAGATGAACTTGCCTTTAGAAGAGGTTTTGATCTCTCAAATGGACTGTTCGTACGAAATTGCTTCACAAAAATTGTAGATCTCGTCATCCTTTAGATCTTTGCTTCACAAAGTCTTTTCAAAATCAAAATAATTTTTTTTAGGGTTTTTGAGAGGGGGCGGTGGCCTCTCTATGGGAGAGAGGAGAGAGAAAATTAGGGTTTTGGTTGTATATATATATGGTTTTTAAATATCCCTCGAAAATTAGGTTTTAGTCTCCGTCGTTAGAACACAACGAAATTTTACCCACAGCACGGTTTCGACATTCTAAGATCGATGGTGCAAACATCGTGTCCATCTGATCAACATAAAAATTACTAAAAATAAAAATACGACAGATTTCAGCAGACTCGCGATACTGAAGCTAAAACTGCGAATCGATCTCAAATCGATTCCAATCTGATTCATTCATTCCAAAATGATCACCAACCATAATAAAACTCATTTATTATCATTTAAAATTATTTTTCAATTTTTTGGGGTTTTACAGTAGTAAACATGCTCAGTTTGCTAATTCTGTTGTAGGTCCGCCGAATGACAACTTCACCACACAGGGCAGAAATACTGTCTTCGTCTCTTGAGGCTTTCAAGAAAATTCAGTCCCAAAGGGCTGGCAAACCTGCAACTCAAGATGCAAAATACCTGAGTAATTCACTTTCAACTATTCGATGTGATCCTAGAAGTTCTCTGAGAATGCCATCAGAGAGTAGAACACAAAGTACAACTTCCGAAAAGCAAGGAGGGACTTCAGTTCTGGGAAACACCAAAGTAGAAAAGCTGAATATGGATGCCTCAAGGCAAAGCAGAGTAGGTCTAGTGCGAAATGGGCGTTTGCCTCTGCAAAGCCAGTCTGCTACTGGTACTGGGAAGCCTAGGAGAGAACCACTAGGACCAGTTTCTGAAACCGAAAAACAGTTATTAAGAAAGGATAAAACATCAGCTGAAAGCAAGGCAGATAAGCAGTCGAAGATCACTGATACTGTCAAAAAGAGCACTTCTTTAGCTGAAAAAGAAAAGGAAAAGGACAAGGAAAAACACAGTGGTGCCCCGTGGAAGCCCATGGATGCTTGGAGGGAGAAAAGGAACTGGGAGGATATACTTAAATCTCCAATGAGAAGTTCTACTCGAGTCTCGCAGTCCCCGGGTCTGGCTAGAAAAGGCATGGAGCGTGCACGAGTATTGCATGACAAATTGATGTCTCCTGAGAAGAAGAAAAAGACAGCTTTGGATTTGAAGAGGGAAGCAGAAGAAAAACATGCACGGGCAATGAGAATTAGAAGTCAACTGGAAAATGAGAGAGTGCAGAGGCTACAACGCACATCGGAGAAATTGAACCGTGTAAATGAATGGCAGGCTGTTCGCAGCTTGAAGTTGCGTGAGGGGATGTATGCTCGTCATCAGCGAAGCGAGACTCGACATGAAGCATATTTGGCTCAAGTGGCTAAGAGAGCTGGTGATGAAAGCAGCAAGGTTAACGAGGTTCGTTTTATTACTTCCTTAAATGAAGAGAACAAAAAGCTGATTCTGCGTCAAAAACTTCAAGATTCAGAAATGAGAAGGGCTGAGAAACTACAGGTAATCAGAATTAAACAAAAGGAGGATACAGCAAGAGAAGAAGCTGTATTAGAACGTAGAAAGCTGCTTGAAGCAGAAAAGTTGCAACGTCTTGCTGAGATGCAGCGTAGAAAGGAAGAGGCTCAAGTAAGAAGAGAAGAGGAGCGCAAGGCATCAAGTGCGGCACGTGAAGCAAAGACTCTGGAACAGCATCGCAAAAAGGAAGTTAGAGCTAGGGCTCAGCTTGAGGAAGCAGAACTACTAGCCCAGAAATTAGCTGAAAGACTTAGTGAAAGTGAACAGCGTCGAAAATCTTACCTAGAGCAAATACGCGAAAAAGCCTCCATGGATTTTAGAGACCAGTCATCACCTCTATTGCGTCGTTCTGTCATAAAAGAGGGCCAAAATCGATCTATATCCGCAAATAGTGTTGAAGAATACCAAACTTCATGCATTTCTGGCACCGGAGATTCTTCTAGAGGACTAGTTAATGTCACACAGCAGCAGTCGTTGAAGCGAAGGATAAAAAAGATTCGTCAGAAGCTCATGTCTCTTAAGTATGAATTTATTGAACCTCCGATTGGCAGTGAAAGTTTGGGGATTGGACATAGAGCTTCAGTGGGAACTGCTAGGGCGAAGATTGGACGATGGCTTCAGGAACTTCAAAGACTACGTCAGGCTAGAAAGGAGGGTGCTGCAAGCATAGGATTGATTGTGGGAGAAATGGTAAAGGTAAGGCATTTCAGATCTTCGAATTAGATCATTGTATAGATTTATATTTGTAACAATAGTTGATAGCTCATATGCCATATAGTGTATCCTTGCCAACCTTTCTTATATGAGTAATGATATCATTAAATATTTTAATGTTGACTTACTTTGGAACATCTTTTCTAAATAATTTGTATTTTTTTTGTTGTCATCTGGAACAGTTTTTAGAGGGAAAGGACGCAGAGCTTCATGCTTCTCGCCAAGCTGGTTTGCTTGATTTTGTATCTTCTGCACTACCTGCCTCTCACACTTCAAAGCCTGAAGCCTGTCAGGTGACAGGATACCTCTTAAGACTTCTACGTGTAGCAATGTCAATGCCGGCAAACAGGAGTTATTTTCTTGCACAAAATCTACTGCCTCCTATTATTCCCATGCTCTCTGCATCTCTTGAGAACTACATAAAGATTGCAGCATCAACAAGTGGTGGATGTAGTAATCTCTTGACAAGTAAAGCATCAACAGAAAATTTGGAAACAATTACTGAAACACTTGATGGTTTCTTATGGACTGTGACCACAATTGTAGGTCATGCACGTACAGATGAACGACAACTCCAGATGCAGGATGGTTTACTGGAGTTAATAGTTGCTTACCAAATTATTCATCGGCTCCGTGATCTGTTTGCTCTTTACGACAGACCACAGGTGGAAGGATCACCCTTCCCTTCCTCCATTATCCTAAGTTTGAATCTCTTGGCAGTCTTAACCTCCCGACCAAGAACAATCTCTTCAATTGATTGGGAATCTTGTATACCTAAAGATGAAGCAGACAATAAATTTCAACAGCCAGAAAGTTTAGCATCTCAAGGCATGGGTGAGATCTCTATGATAAGTAGGCCTGCTGCAATGGAGATTGCATATTTACAGGTGAACGAGTCTGATAAAGGTGCCAGAGAGTTGCAATCAGGAATATTGTCTATGCCAGAAATTCCAAATCAAAGGCCGTTAGATGGAGAATCTATGAAGGATTCCTCTGTTACACTGGATTGTCAGGGCAATGTTGGGGATATCACGTGTGAAGAAAGTGCTACATGTGAAGTTCAGAACCTTGTGGCTGAAGAACATGCCAAATCAGTTCCAGCCCAGAAAATTGAAAAAAACTCCATTGATGGTTGTGTAGAAAGAAAAAGAATGAATGAGCAAAATCTTCATGAGAATAAAGAAAGCAAGAAAATATGTAGGTTGAAGCAGCCAATGGCATTTCTTCTTTCTGTTATAACAGAGACAGGTCTCGTCGGTCTTCCATCATTATTGACAGCAGTGCTCTTGCAGGCAAACAATCGATTGTCATCTGAACAGGTACACCTACATTAGGAAGTAAGAGAAATAGCATGACCCGGTCTCTTATTTCCAGGCTACAATTGTATCTCATCAGGTGGATTTTTTTTCCATTGTCCTTTTCGGTTGTGCCTCACTGCCTTGGATTGTGTTCTTATAGATTGGATACTTTTTATGCTGGGTATCATCTCCTGAGGATTAACCACTACCGTCTGAAAGTTGTAGTTCCTGCTTTTGCCATTGGTTAGTCTGGCATCTGCTCATATCTGTTGTATTCATTATAGGGGACGGGTTTGCGGTGAACCAAAATTTTGAGATATTGTCACAGGACAAAGACAGCTACAAGTATAATGAAAGATAAAAGAACGAAATCAAAAGACTGGGAAAACAACTTAGGTGAATTGATGAACTTAATCATGCAGTAGTGTGGACCGACAATTCTAATGCACGTGAAGCCTCTTCCTGGGCATGTACTTGCATATTTTTCTCCAGTTATATTTAGCCGCCGTGCATTTTCTGATAGGTTTATGTTTGCTTCCTTTCATAAGTTGTAATATATTATTTGCATGTAGTGACCTTGTTTCATTTTAGGCCTCTTATATTCTTCCGTCAAATTTTGAAGAAGTGGCTACTGGTGTGCTGAAGGTTTTAAACAATTTGGCACTCTTGGATATTGCTTTTCTGCAAAGAATGCTGGTACCTTTTCCTTGTAACTTGTTCATCTTAAGTTCAATCGACAAAAGGATGCCATAGATATTAGTTGGCTGTTTGATGTATGTTTCAAGTAAGTCTCCTCTAATATGTTGTACTCTTTACAGGGTAGACCAGATCTGAAAATGGAGTTGTTTCACTTGATGAGTTTTCTTCTGTCTTACTGCACAAGCAAGTGGAAAGCAGCAAATGATCAGGTAACGCAACCCTTTTGCCATGTGGTGCAACTGGTTGATGAGGTTTTCCTGTGTATGCCTTACGTACTGCACATTAGTATGCCCACATTTTGGCACCTTTTCCTGCTGCCTTATTCTTCCTATATAATCCCTTTAATATTTTTCTTTCTTGTTTACCATTTTTCTGGATTTTGTTTTGTTTTGTTTTTAGTATATAGTTTGTGCATTCAGCCACCCTTCAGCATATTTTATCAAGGAATACTTTTAGTTTATCGGTAGTTACCAATTTCATGTCCATTTAATGTGTTACCTGCACAAGCAACATAAAGCATGATGACCACAGCGAATTCTGATTATTTGAAGAGTGTTTTAAATTAAAACATGTATTAGATAATTGAGTATATGCCCAAATAAACATATGCATTTATTCAAGAAGTGTCCAATATGTGTGTGCGCGCGCGTGCGCAATCTAACATATGCCTATTTAATGATTTGGAACATTTGTAAATGAAATTTTCTCTTCCTGGCTAAATTTCTTGAGATCCTTTTTTGCATATACTAGTTGCATTATATAGATAACTTACGGATCCTATTGTGAGCTTGTACCTGGTATATAAATTCTTTTATTACTTTTATCAGGTCAGTTTGCTCCTCTTGGAATCTTTATTGCTTATTAGCTACTTTGCATTGTTTCATGCGGGTCTTTGTCCAATTTATTCCCTCATCGCATCTAAAAGTTACATGGATACCTGATCTAATTGCCTTTTACGGAACAGGTCTGCGATCTACCCTTTGTTTTCTTCAGCGACCCTGAGTTGACTCCAATCTTGGCTAGTACACTCATGGCAGCTTGCTATGGCTGTGATCAGAACAGAGGTCTGGTGCTTCAAGAGCTGAGTGTAGATATGCTACTCTCTCTCCTCAAATCCTGTCGACAAAGTTTGCTTGCTGATCAACCTGACAACTCTCTGCAAGAGAATTCACTGGCAAGTGATCTATGTGATGGAACCCAACAAACTCAAGAGGCTAAAAAACCCCAGGGTGACAACAAACCAAATCGTAAAGGCGCTAGATTTGCTTTCGCAAAAGGAAGCACGTCGATTAGCAACATCAAAGCGACCAAGGCAAAATCGCAGAGGGAGCACAGAGGAACAAAGACTTGCGATGAATGGGCTTTCAAGCACAATTTACCATCCTCGGAAACTTCTCACACTTTCATGTTGCACCAGAGGTTTCCTACTAGTTTCCTGGATAAAGCCGAAGAGTTCTTCACCTCTGGCAGCTTAGAGCTGCAGCTTTAGCAGCTGCAGATTTTAATTGCAACATGCCAAATCAGTTCCAGCCCAGAAAATTGAAAAAAACTCCATTGATGGTTGTGTAGAAAGAAAAAGAATGAATGAGCAAAATCTTCATGAGAATAAAGAAAGCAAGAAAATATGTAGGTTGAAGCAGCCAATGGCATTTCTTCTTTCTGTTATAACAGAGACAGGTCTCGTCGGTCTTCCATCATTATTGACAGCAGTGCTCTTGCAGGCAAACAATCGATTGTCATCTGAACAGGTACACCTACATTAGGAAGTAAGAGAAATAGCATGACCCGGTCTCTTATTTCCAGGCTACAATTGTATCTCATCAGGTGGATTTTTTTTCCATTGTCCTTTTCGGTTGTGCCTCACTGCCTTGGATTGTGTTCTTATAGATTGGATACTTTTTATGCTGGGTATCATCTCCTGAGGATTAACCACTACCGTCTGAAAGTTGTAGTTCCTGCTTTTGCCATTGGTTAGTCTGGCATCTGCTCATATCTGTTGTATTCATTATAGGGGACGGGTTTGCGGTGAACCAAAATTTTGAGATATTGTCACAGGACAAAGACAGCTACAAGTATAATGAAAGATAAAAGAACGAAATCAAAAGACTGGGAAAACAACTTAGGTGAATTGATGAACTTAATCATGCAGTAGTGTGGACCGACAATTCTAATGCACGTGAAGCCTCTTCCTGGGCATGTACTTGCATATTTTTCTCCAGTTATATTTAGCCGCCGTGCATTTTCTGATAGGTTTATGTTTGCTTCCTTTCATAAGTTGTAATATATTATTTGCATGTAGTGACCTTGTTTCATTTTAGGCCTCTTATATTCTTCCGTCAAATTTTGAAGAAGTGGCTACTGGTGTGCTGAAGGTTTTAAACAATTTGGCACTCTTGGATATTGCTTTTCTGCAAAGAATGCTGGTACCTTTTCCTTGTAACTTGTTCATCTTAAGTTCAATCGACAAAAGGATGCCATAGATATTAGTTGGCTGTTTGATGTATGTTTCAAGTAAGTCTCCTCTAATATGTTGTACTCTTTACAGGGTAGACCAGATCTGAAAATGGAGTTGTTTCACTTGATGAGTTTTCTTCTGTCTTACTGCACAAGCAAGTGGAAAGCAGCAAATGATCAGGTAACGCAACCCTTTTGCCATGTGGTGCAACTGGTTGATGAGGTTTTCCTGTGTATGCCTTACGTACTGCACATTAGTATGCCCACATTTTGGCACCTTTTCCTGCTGCCTTATTCTTCCTATATAATCCCTTTAATATTTTTCTTTCTTGTTTACCATTTTTCTGGATTTTGTTTTGTTTTGTTTTTAGTATATAGTTTGTGCATTCAGCCACCCTTCAGCATATTTTATCAAGGAATACTTTTAGTTTATCGGTAGTTACCAATTTCATGTCCATTTAATGTGTTACCTGCACAAGCAACATAAAGCATGATGACCACAGCGAATTCTGATTATTTGAAGAGTGTTTTAAATTAAAACATGTATTAGATAATTGAGTATATGCCCAAATAAACATATGCATTTATTCAAGAAGTGTCCAATATGTGTGTGCGCGCGCGTGCGCAATCTAACATATGCCTATTTAATGATTTGGAACATTTGTAAATGAAATTTTCTCTTCCTGGCTAAATTTCTTGAGATCCTTTTTTGCATATACTAGTTGCATTATATAGATAACTTACGGATCCTATTGTGAGCTTGTACCTGGTATATAAATTCTTTTATTACTTTTATCAGGTCAGTTTGCTCCTCTTGGAATCTTTATTGCTTATTAGCTACTTTGCATTGTTTCATGCGGGAAATC